TTGTAATATGGTCTTATAGAGACTTATAAGTCCTAGGAACCAAACATGTAGAGACTTTTTAGGGACTTAGGATTTATAAGTTGGGACTAAAAAAAGTCTTAGGACTTATGAACCAAACAGGGCCTAAATTAGGTACAAACACCATGATAACTTTGAACCGGAAGAAAAAAAATCATTGAAAAGATACCCCCGGTAATATAAGTGTAAATAGCATGGTAAATTATACAGCGCGGAGCTGATAACTCATGTACGAATACCATGGTAACCTTTTTGACCCTCAGAAAAAAGTTGTTGAAAATATATCCCAGTAAGTTTTGCGTAAATAGCATGGGTTTTTTAACGCATTACAGACCTGATAACTTATGTGCAAGCCCCCGATAATTCTGACTCGGATATTTTTTTATTAAAAATATACCCCGATAACATGATAATTTACACGTCACGCACCTGATAACTTACGTATGAACACCCCGGTAACTTTTGTTTCCGTTAAAATAAGTGCAGAAACATCCCCGATAAATTCTAGATAACTAGTATAACATGAGTGGCATGGAGACACCATATATCCATCCGTGAATATTATGCAGTACATAAATCCAGGGGAAAAAACTGAAAAAGCATGTTTCCTGGACTGTACGTAGAAAACAAATGTCTTAATCTAATCACTAGCTCAATCTATGCCGAGTGGTTGCAAGCTACTGTGGGCTATTAAGAGGTAGTGTGTTCAAATCCCACTTCCGCCAATTGTTTTTATTGCGCTAGAAGAAGAAAAAACCCGCAGTGGATCGATGTAGCGCCAGGAAAATCGGAGCGAAGTGGATCGTACGTGGGCGGAATCGTCCGGGTCTGTCGCTAACGACCAGTAGCACAGTCCTTTGATAAAACTAAATCAGCCAGAAACATATTTGGCAAGGGTTTAGATAATGTCAGTTTTCGAAGAACCCTATATAGGAGATTCTTTGGAGTTATGGGATCATATTAAAGATAGTTGCTCTGGTCTGGTCTTGAGTGGGGACAGAGATAGAATCTTCTGGACCCTGGATAAAAAAAAGGATTTGCACTGTTAAATCTTACTACAGATTTTTGATTGAAAATGGGGCTAAATACCCACATAAATTTCTGTGGAAAACTAAGATGCCACCTAGGGTGAAAGTCTTTATTTGGTTGGTTTTGCGCAATAGCATTTTAACTAGAGATAACTTGCTCCGTAGGGGGTGGGTAGGAGATAAAGACTTGCCCCTTTTTGTATGCAAAATGAGAGTGTTGACATATATTCCTGAAGTGTTCCATGGCGAAAATGATGTGGAATATTATTCAATATGCTTTTGATTTAAAACAGGTGCCTGAGAGTACACAAGATTTGTTTGGGGTTTGGTTGAAGCAGTTTGAAAAACATGAAAATTCCATAGTGGCAGTGGGGATATCTGTGGTTTCTGGACTATCTGGAAACCTAGAAATAGTGTGGTATTTGATTAAAAAAGGATATGTGATCCTTGTATACATGTTAACCTGATGGTTAAAATGTTACAAGACTAGCTCGTTTTGTTGATAGACCCAAGAAGACGAA